TAATATATTTTATATTTTTTATTTTATTTTGAAAATAACAAAATTTTATACACATTGAGACGGTAAAATCTCACTGAATAAACCATGATGTTACGTCTAAAAATAAACACACTGATAGTGAGGATAGTCCTCTTCAGGTCCTGAAGCAAAGTTTATTAATTAAAACTAATTTACCTTAATCTCGAGGATGTAGTATATGCCAAAATACAATCCGAATTATCCATGCACTAGTTTTGAATGGAATATTTACAGCACTAATTTTCACACACAGGCAGGAACGTCTTCACAATAACACATTCACTTGACTCATACAAGGACACTTAGAGACAAAGAAATATTTCTTTATCTTCTTTATAGGACCTGCGCTGTGAACATGTGATAGCTTTTGGTCGTATTTTAAATAAAGATAATATACAGAGGGTCATTAAAAAGTAAAAGAACGTACGAATTTAATTAAAATCTGACTCAATGATAAATAAAGTTTTAGAGCTTTTCAACACCAGTTATATAGGTATGATAAGAACTGTTTATTATTAAAAAAAAGTTAAAGTACTTTGGAATATTTTAGAATGTACTTAGCAATTAAAATTAATTACCTGGTCGAAGAAAAGTTGATTGTGCATTTTGAATTAAAACAAATGAAAACTGCATGCTTTCCTTTTCAAGTTAAATAATATTATTATAGTTATTACCTACCTGATCACTGAGCATTTTCTTGAATAAGTTAAAGTTTTTAGTAAACCAACTCTTCAGGGGAGCATCAACCAATTACATTTCCTTTTCAAAGAACAAGTTTTAAATTTTCATGTAAAATTGGTGTTTATAAAAATAATTGATAATAGTTGAATTTCTTATTTTATTTATGATAATACATGTTCTCAATCATAGAATATAAAATTATAAAAAGTAAATATAACACTATATTATAACATTAAATCTACCGATAAAATCAATAATACATATAAAGAAACTTAAACATTGTATAAAATGGATTAACAAAAGGAATGTATAAATATACACTTGTTATGGCCTTATTGAAAATAAACAAAAATGAGAAAATCATAATGTTTGAGTCGAATACTTTTATGCTATCGTCTTTACAAATTTTATGTACTTACTAATGATAAAATTTAACTGTAAAGCGGAAACTTTTGACATACAACTCTGAAAGAAGAATTACAAAAAAAAAATGAGTATTAACATAAGTATTTATAGAAAATCTCTTCAGTTGCATTTGAGTATTATTATTATCCAAAGAACACATCTTGGGCAGTAGCTGAATTCAAAATAGAACCAAAAAAATGAGATCTAAGTATAAATATAGACCTCTTGCATTGCTTTAATTATAGGTGTTATCATTACATTAAGAAAAATAGACAGTTATTAGTCGTATAAAGCTTCTCAGGCACAGTATTTGTTACATATGAAAAGAAATAAATGATTTAACTTGTAGTACGTGGCAAAAAAATGAAGAAACATAGTTACAATAAAATATCAATAATGATAATAATGGAACTCAACAACAACAATAATCATTTTTTAAGATTTTTTCTATAGTGTTCTACGATTCGTATGCATCTTGTACACTCACATAAATAATAAACGTAATCTATTTAAACAAAGAGTTAATTAAAATTAAATTAATCTGTAATACTTTTTACATGTGAGTATTATGCAGGTAATTGGTCAATTTAATGCCTTATTTTATGGTAAACTGTAGTTTTACTAACTTAACACTACAAAGAATCTGTCTAATCAAAGAAAAAAATAAAGAAACAAAAATCTACGAAGAGAAATCAAATTTAGAAAAAAAAAAATAAAAGAGAAAAATATTACAAAAAATCAAAATTACATTTTCGTTGTTTACCGATCGTTTATTTACGTATTTATTTGTAGATGGGGAAATGGGGACGGTTGGATCTCTTCGTTGTCGCCAACACAAGTACCTACTTATCATTTAAACATATAAATAAAAAACAAAATAAAATATACTTAACTTTACATAACAAAACATACTACAATAGACGGTCCATTTATTTGATAAATAATTTTATGTATACGAATAGTAAGTAAGTAGATGGCAAGATAATTTAGGCAGATTTTTGTTCATTGACAAAATTTACAATACACATGTGGAAGATTTCGAAATTATTTAGATCACAGCACAAAACACAAAATACAATAATAAAACTTAGGAACAAACGCTTTTGAACAAATCGGCTATCGACGATAAATACTTTACATACACAAAAATCTTCCGCTTATATATCATCTTTTTTTATTTATTATCCTTTCTTTCTTTATTTATTTAAATAATTTATTAATACATAGATACATACACATTTATATTTATTTTGAGATTTTTGATTGCTAATTTTCGAACGATTATTATCTTACATAACAGTGAAACTAATAAGTAATTATCATCACATTCAGAAAGGTACGTTTAATTTCAGGAGATCTGAAAAAACCGTTACAAAAATACAAATAGTCGCGTAGATATTCCTTCTAATTTCTGGGAATTAATATGGAGTTATTTTGTAATCACAAAATTGAGCTCGATAATCTTATTTTATTTTTTTAAATATAAGTTATAGAAAGCATCCAAAATCACTTGCAATAAATAGTTATATAGTTAATTTTCAACGTTAAAGGTGAACAAGATGCTTCACATGAACAGGTTCGTAGCATAACTTTTATTAAGAGTTTCGTAGATACAAACAATTTCAGACCATTATTCATCAAAATAGTATATTACGCACCAAGGGAACAACGTATGGCATTCCCTCCTAGTAATGACGTACAATTTTCCCGAAGCCCGTATATAATTCTTTACCATACCGCCGCCTCGTAAGTACGACTGTTCTTGATTCTAGGGACAAGAAAGTGGATGATAATCTCCTAGGTAATAGATCGCATTTACTGTTTATTAGAAAAAATTTTTAAACTCATCGTGGAATTGTCGAGGATATTAAAATTCCCAAAATGGACTAAATGCGATTTCGCACCCGGGAAATAATGTTGTGATTTTGTCCCTTAAGTCAGGGAAAAATATCTTACATTCGGCAGGGATATGGTAAAAAATTAATTTTCACTTCGTTTTTATAGTCTTTCAATATTTGATTGAAGACGATATTATATTTAAAATAAAATGAATCTTTTTTCTACTAATTATTGAGCAACTCCTTCGCCCTCCGTTGGTATCTAGTTACTAAGTTTCTTAATTATCAACAAAAATAGAATGGATAATAAGAAAATCCTGAAAAACAGTTTGAACTGAAAATTTAAAAAAAAAAGCCATTTAAAGTGAAGACTGCAGAAATAAATTGCAGTTTAAAAGAATATACAATAAAATTTATGGTTGCACGGAACGGATACACCACGTTAATGTTAATTAATATTACCAGATGTTAATTTAGATAAATAATTTGCCACGGAAACGTGCGAGGTGGATCGATTGGTTAATTAAAAATGTAAACGTCTGCAAAATTGCCATGATTTCCACTTAATTGAATAATTGAATGCTAATACATTATAATTTACATACGCGGGGAGTGTGTTCCGATATTTTTTGTATTGAACAAGAAATACATTCATTTTATTCTAACGTAACGCATTCCTGCTTGCTATGATAATCTGTCGCAACCTTCGACAGGAAAAACATTTTTTCTCGATTCCGTATCGACAGATAGTGTCACATAATTGTACATGAGTATTTTGTTATTATTACGTTTGTAGGCCTGTCGGAAATGTTTTATGCGTGCGTACATATTCGTATAAGTGTCTCATACATTTGCCCATTGTAACCTGCAGCATAAGCAAAAGCGTGACTGACAAAGACAACTCAATTTTTATTTCATTCTCATCCTGCATTTGATAGACAATTACAACCCCGTGTGCGTAAAATGCGAGGGAAGTAACAGTTGCACTCTCTCATTCTTTCCGTACCATGGTAAGCTCTCTCGAGTACTATATGCTTTATAACGATATTATTCCCATATTTATGGCAATATCGAGTGGCAATATTGTATAAACATGTGCGTATACCGCCTACGACTGACCGATTTCATTTCAGAATTAATACCGACATAAATGAGATAAGAACTCTTGTTCTAATCCGATGATTTGTTGTAAGAATTAGCAAATTACCTTTGATTCCTAGTAAACGAAATTACGGACTCACTTTCAAACGTAGTTACTCGTAAATTATGACCACAAAATAAGAACATACCTATCTGTAAGTACCTACATACAAGTATGCATTAGCTTTGATCGGTCATCATTGAGAAATGCGGGCATTTATTCTAGGTACCTCTATTGCCGTTGATAGATGGGTTTTGGTTGTCAATTGGATAATTAAGATTGCTTTTAGATGAACCGTTTGTGTTCTTTTCAGTTGACCTGATTTTTGGTTTCGTTTTCGCCTTGCATAAGACCAGAGCTATTTATTTTCTTCATCTTTACAAATGGCCGTTGGGATGCTTATTACGAGAAAGGAGGTCAGGAAAATATACGATTTGCAAATAAAATGAATAGAAAAGTCGTCGGTGGAATTTTCAAAAGTCTTATGCACTTCTAATTTAGAAAAAAAAAAACACTGAAGTACAATATGTATAAGAATTCAAAGTTAGAGTATTTCCAAAAGTACTACTGTAAATTAAACATCTGATCAAAATTAAATTGGGACCGATTGAGTACAATTCGTAAAAAACAAAAAACTGTATTTCTTACCTGTTTATTTCCGTGAAGCATCTTAAAGAACGTCTTAGGTATTTTGGAGCTTTCTTTTTTCTTCGTTATCTAAAATACTACGATTTCGGTAATACTTTCACGTCTCGGGAACAATAATACATAGGTAGTTAAAAAATGGACGGAAGAAACTTGAACACGGAACGAATGAGTATAAAAACACACAAAAAAAAAAAAACAAAAATCAACGAGCTACCTAGATTTCGTTTTCGTTGTGGCAACGTTACCTGCTGCCGCCGCGTTCTTTTGAGCTATATGCGTTTGGTAGTGTTTCGCGAGATGCGCCTTCTGTCTAAAGCTTTTACCGCACAGGCTGCAAGCGAACGGTTTTTCCCCGGTATGCGTCCGTATGTGGACATTTACCGAGTATTTGTCCTTAAATCCTTTCGAGCAAATGCTGCAATAATGCAGCGATCTCTCTTTCCTCACCCCATTACTGGTACTTGTCGCGCCCTGGACCGTTGTCTGTTTCGAACTCCCGCTGTTCGATCTTTTGTATTTTTTTGGGGCGGGTTTCGTACTGGTGACGACGGGGGCTATGGATATGGGAGAGGTGAGGTTTCCTAAGAGACTCGCTTGTTCAGTGCCTATACTGTAGACGTTTTCAATGTTTTCGTTGATAAGGCAATATTGCCCGACGGATTCGACTACTTCGTTCGCTATCCGTTTGAGTTTTTCGTAGTCTTCGGGATATGAAGTGTCCAATTGGGAGAGGAGGATGTCGTCCATACTGTGCGCGCTGGATGGATTTTCGGGTTCTGTTGGTGGCCTCGTTGGTGTCACGTGCTCCTCGAAGATGATAGCCCCGTTTGAGTCTACACCGGTTACTATTGTCGGCGTAGGAGTCTTGTCCGGTTCTTCTTTGATATAAAGGGTACTTTCGGTTTTGCCGGGCGGCGTCGAAAGCACCCTCCGCAGTTCGCTGTTGCTCTCTGTTTTGGGTACTTTTACCGATCCGTTGTAACGTACGAATGCTTTTCCCTGCAAAGCACTGCGTAGCAACGAGTCCGGCGTACCATTGCTCGTATTGTTGTTGCTCACTTTCCAGTCGTTGTTGTTGTTGTTGAAATTTTCGTGCGCTTCCAACAGCGGCGTATCGATGATCAGCGAGCTGGCAAGTTCGTCTTTGTTGTCGGCAAATCCACTATCCTCGTACGTATACGTTTCCGATTTGATGAGTCCGTCCGTATTCGGACTCTGCGTGCTATCGCTAAAACTACCACTAAAACCATTGATTTGTGCTGGCATAATACTTAATATTGAATCGATGTCTAGACCGACTTGCATGTGTTCCATAGAACCAGGACTCGATATAGAGCCATCCTCTTCTTTGACGATTGTGGCTAATGGTGGACGGTACCACGTCGCGCTTTGGTCGATGCCATTTAATACTGTTAGAGTGTAAATGTGTCCATCAGTACTGGTTGCCGTTTTACTAGCACTACTACCTATAACCCCACTAGCGTCCTGTTCCGACCAGCAGTACTTGTTCAAGTCTTCCAGGATGGCGGATTCGATCTTGACTGCGTCCTTGTCGCTCCAAAAGTTCGGATCGAACGTGCTCGTCGTACCTTCGGAGGATGCTGTTGCCGGCACGTTCGCTATCTCTGCAGTGAGCATGGTGGTGTTGTTATTGTTCGTTTCCTTCCGATCTTCTGGCGAACTGCTTTCCAGGAACGTGTTCACTGTTCGCATTTGTTTCGTAAAAGTTAACGTTTGAGCGTCGCTCGTGTCCGGATTCACAACGAAATCGAAGAAGTCTGTCTTTGTTATGTCTTCGCTGCGAAAAGCTTCAGTTATATCCATTATCACAGGTTCTTGATTAAATAGAAGGACACTGGAGTTTCTCTGGCCCAGTGGATTACGTGTAAACTGCCTCAGTTGTATTCTGTAATGAAAAAAAAAAAAATGAAATGCTTTGGGTGTCAGTAAATTGATCCATTTTTCTTTAGTTATAATAATAGAAAAGCATGATTCAATTACGCACAAAAAACATCACATTTTTAAAAAGGATTTCCTTATTTGCCACTACAAATTACAAATATAGATTTTCCATGACATTCATTTGAAAAATCTTTAACGACAATCTTCATGTCAATTAGCAATAAAGAAACTAAGATGGGATTCTTTCCCTTTGGCTTTCGTATCTCATCATCATCAAAAGATCATCAGTTTTAAGACTGGTTGGACACGCACTTCCGCTCCTTCCTATCCTCAGCTAATCTTCATATTTCTTCAAAACTAGAACATCCCACACACTTAACTATTAGCGAATAGTAATCTAATCTAGGTCTACATCTACCCCTCTTAACTCATACCAACCTATCTCGCCTATTTCTTATTGACTTCCATAGAGCCTTCTGTTCTCCTATTTTATTTCCGCTGCGCCCACCGTCCATGTTTCGCATCTTTATAATCTTTTCCGAATTTCTAAATTATTTTATTGAAGGCGACTCGACCCTCTGCTTTATATCCCTACTATTCCTTCCGTCCTGACTTATCTGACTTCCTAGATACCTAAAATCAGCCACTTCTTCTAATTTTTCATCTCTGATCTTTATATTCGGTTTTTCCCTACTTTTTCTTCCCTTGCTTACCAGTATTTTGTTTTGGGTTTCGTATCTATCAGAAATTTCTTTTTAATGATTGTTTTAATTTGTTCAATATTTATACATTTTAAAATATAAAAGAAATAATGTTTATTTCATCTATTGTTTGGTAGGAGTAAGGGTGAGTTTTATTGGAAATATAGTAAATTTTAAAAAATTAGGAAACAAAAATACCGTCCTCCTTTGATCAATTTTAATTAAAAGTTGTGATCCGAAAAGGCAACGACAAGGTTCAACAAATCTAACGATTTATTCTTTAAAAATTTCCTGTCATTTGTAAACGAATCAGTTAGCAAGTGGAAAGTAATAAAATGGTACAATAACAGAGTGTGCTCATTATGAGGTGACAGCATTTTTCAAGTGCCGGTCCTGTTTTCTCGCTAATGTGTTGTTCTGTAATTGTCTTTGAGACATCTCTATAAGAAGCGACCAAGTGGTTGCGTGTCGTGAATGTTGAAAGTACGTCGTTATACCATCTAAGCAGAATCGTCCATTGCGCGAGTAATTTCTGTTGAATTTTAATTAATAGATTCTTATCCCAACGGACGATTACCATCTAGAAGTATCGAGGAGTACGGAACTTGAACCCAAGTATAAAATCGAATAGTGGAGACGTGCACTGGTACAGTTCACACGACGATTATGTTACACGTTTGCCTCATCTTATATGACTTCGAAAATGTTCTTAACATGGAAAACTACCATTAAATTCTTACTCTTTCCTTTATTTCGTTCAATCGGTTCATACTAAAACGGCCAGGTGGAACAATTAAAGCAGCTCGTTCTTTTTAAAACGCATAACGATATTACTCCTTTATCCTAGTCCTTCTTCAGAAGAAAAGTGCCAATTGTCAATCAAACTTTACGAGAGACTTAAATTAATTCTACATGTTCGGTTTCATGGCTTCCAAAACGCTTCCTTCGTCTATATTTTATAGCACGACTCGGTATCAAACAGTTACTAGAAACAACAAAAATAGTTTCCTTGTTCTTTTATCGGTCTGCCTTAAGGAAACACTTAGGTATGGTCAGTAGCGGTGTTAGGGTAGGGCGCGGTTGGGCGATCGCCCAGGGCGCCGGACAAAAGGGGCGCCGCAGGCGCCCTCCACCTCATTCTCAAAATTAAGCGGACGGAAGCCCTAAATTAAGTGGATTTTTTTTATGTTGGCAACACTTGAACGGAACGTAATCCGTTCGATCGGAGTTTATTTTACAGGGAATCCCCAATCAAAGAAAAACACATTGTCTATCTCCTTTTTGCCCGATCAAAATGTGGTTACACCTATTTTTGTTTTAAATTTCATCAAAGATCGCTACTTACAAGAACTGTATCCAAATGTATGGATAGCATTGCGAATATTACTGACTATACCTGTAACGGTTGCTAGCGGGGAGCGGAGTTTTTCAAAGCTGAAGCTGATAAAAACCTATCTTCGATCAACAATATCTCAATCTAGATTGACAAACTTAGCAACTTTGTCAATTGAAAACGAAATTGCTGAAAACATAGACTTTGATAACCTTATAAAAGAGTTTGCTGATAGAAAGGCCAGAAAAGTAAAATTTTATTAGTTTGTTTCTAATAAATGGTTATTTTTTATAATAAATAATTATTTGTTTTAATAAATGGTTATTTCATTATATGCTTTCCCTTTTTTCCTATGGGTTTGAATTGTAGTTGGAGGGCGCCGTAGAAATCTCGCCCAGGGCGCTGGTAATGGTAAAACCGGCACTGGGTATGGTCGTAACGTGAAATGTATAGATCAATTAGAGATACCACATTACTGGGGCAAGAATTAAGGCTTCCTTTTGTACGATCATCCTGATTAGATCCGGATTTATAATCTGCTTGTTTAAACTTTTGTAATTTAGTGATTTGCCATTAAAATGTATCGAGTTAAAAATAAAATTAACATCATGCTTACCGTTCATGATTATATGACCTAGATATCTTTAGCCTTGTACTAAATAATGAGGATTAAGCCCCAATATGCATCTCATATCAGTATTTGATTAGAATAATGTCTTATTAGCGCACATCCAAGTATAATCTGGCTCTATTCATAATAGGGCTCACCAATTAAAATTAGTTTTCGACGTTTCCTATCTAATTTGTATTCATATTCGTATTGTGCCTTGTAACAGTATTGTTAATTAATCAAAACTGAATTGCTCAAACAATTGTGTTGTGTTCTTTTTTCTGCATTATCATTACCATATAGAGCGTTGTGACCATTCTGTTATTCTTATTATTGACTTTAACCCCGTTCAGAAGACCATGAAAAATAAAACAACGGAATAAAGAGGCGAGGCGTAAACAGAATGGTTCCGACGTTTCGGTTTCAGCACAGGAAAACATGAAAATTTGGCAAAATAAGCGACAAGCGATAACAAAATTTGCATATTTGTTTCAGCGCTGCTACAAAGAACAGTTCTTGCTCATGAACCGTGAATAAAGTGTATATTATGATGGTAGATACCTGTGTGTGCCTGATGCAATACAAATACGTTCGTATGTGTGTGTATTTGAGTGTAATGTTGTGAGAAGTTCAGTAGTTGGAGTTGCCACACATGCACGGTGATACTGGGACAATTAGGAGATTGTTCTTAATCGTATCACCACACGTTTATTACCACGTAGGACGAAGCCTAAAGCTCCACAGAAAATTTATAAGTCATAACTAGTGTTTCGAAAAGACATCTCGTTAAATGCAAGACCCCGAAAGGAGACGAAAAGGCATAAAATCAACCATGAAAGTGCCGCTCCTTTATTAGGAGAGGGAACACTCATAGAAAATGTGAAAAACTTACCTACATATTCGTACCACAATTCCGTAAATGTTTCATTTCTATTTAGATTGTATAATATTATAGCAGCATTTTTAAAACAAAAATTACTTAAACTATTGCATTAATTAATTACTAAACACTGGACAGATACAACTTTATTCGACCGGACGAAGGCGGAATATTGGTTTAGTTTAGTTAAAAACTTTTACCCTTGCACCATACAGAACTGCAGAGAGGAATTACAAATTAAAACAAACACAAACGCATATGCAATACATATAGGTACAGTACAGGGTAAGAGCGATTTGCTTACAATTTATCGCAATGGCAATTTCCGAATTTTCGGTTGCTACAGACAGGTTAGCTTTTGAAGCCTGTTAAAATCACTCCTTTTGAACATAACCATCAGGGGTCACACGTAGCGCGTGAAACGTGATGCTGTGACGTGTGACATTTTCGGTTTTATACCCTAGGAAATTTCCTTCTAACCGTCGATAAAGAATTTTCACTTCAAAAAGTAGTAAGGGTTTACTATACAAATAATAGTGGATACACAAGTGCAAATATTTTTTTCAGATTTTTACTTCATTTTTAAAGTGGTTGAAGCTTTTGAAATTGCAATTGTATCTTAATAAAATAAATAAAACATTAAATCTCAAAATTCCACAGACCTAAGACACGTTTCTAAGCCCAAGGTGTCATATGCTCAGCTAAAGACAAAATTAATGTGAATTCTGAAGCTTTTTGTATAGCTAAGGTCCCTTAAGACATCTTAGAAATTGCAATTTTAAATTACTAAAGCGGGACCATAGTAAGGGTGAGGTTTGAAGGTCATACTGTTTGTAGATAACGGTATAGAATAAAATACAATAGTTTACTCTTAGCTATAAATTGCCTTTATTGAATTCACAGTCAAATCCTTTCTCTAAATCGAAATCGTTTGAGGTTTGCGAGCAGTTTTCGTAAGGTGATGAATTTTTAAATTGGTACAAAACACGTACCTCTTATTAACAATTATTGAAGCAGTTACTGACCTGTCTGTCTGGATTGAGACTTTATGCAGATATTTCAAAATAAGCGAGTTAAGGCAATCGCTTTTGTAGTGTGTATTCGGTAAAATTAAGTGATGTGGAAAAGCATCAATTTTCTTTTCAACCAAATGAGAAACACGTTCAGGCACACCTATTAATTATCGTTTTATTATTATTATTATTATAAATGCAACACGCGCACACGCGATATTTTGCATGTAAGAAGCCGAGAATTTTGGAGCGTTAAAAGCGGTTCTAAACGGTTTGTTAACTATGCAAAGAGCTCTTTTTTATGTAAATTTCAATTTTATAATTCCCTAGTAGATATACATATTTGCGCAGAATAGCTACAATTACGATATTTTTAAAGAAAAAAAAAACTTTTCGAAGAGAACCAAAGATTTATATTTGACGTTTTGAACACTAGGCTTTAAATTGTTTCTAGTCAAAAGCTTAAT